CGAAGATGGCATAACTCGGGTATGATATCAAATGTTCTTTTGTTAGTTATATTCTGGATTTTTTTTTTATCCTTATATCAAAACAACATTTTACTGTTGGATGTCCCATATAGTTTCAAAAGTAGAAAAACAAAAGGGTGGGGCTAACATTTTCCAAAACTTTGAAGACAGTAAATAAAAAAAGCAAGGAAAAGCATATCTTATAACTTCAGTAGAGTAGGTGTTAAATTTTATGAAACATGCTATTATCCCTTTACATAAAACAATATCTCAACCAAAGCAACAATGGCAGCTAGTATTTGAAATCCACTCAGGACTCAGCTAATAGTGAGGTTTAGAAACAAGATAAATTTACCTCCTGAAAGCAAGAATACATTGTCATATCCTCGTTGAACTAAAGTAGATGCTACATTGGGAGCAATGGTTTCATCTTCATCATATATCACAATGATTTTACATGGTCTGTTTTTCTGGGATTTTAGTTATGGAAGTAACTATACGCAAGTGAAAATACAACTAAAGTCTTCAGATTAAGGATGCCTGTAAATTAATTCCCATATATTAAAATATTCTTTTAATAAAAAAATTGATTTTAATATAACTAAGGTGTCAGTGTGTTTATTTAGAATTAAAATTTTAACTCTCTCACTACAGGCTTGATTAATTTAACCTAAAAATTTACACCAAATTGAGCTTTAAAGTTTCCATACTATAACTTCTAATAAGTTTTGTGTATCCTCAAGAAATTTTGCAAGCTTTCAGAACACATTAAGTCATTTGTAGACAAAAACCCAGAATTTCCAATGAAGTATTTTCACTAAAGATTTTTCCATGAATATATGAAGTCAAAGTGCTGAATGCTCCAAGTGTAAGAGTGCAGAGTGATTTTCAAGAGTGTAAATGATTTTCAAGAGTTGCAAAGTGATTTTCAAGAGTGTAAAGTGATTTTCAAGAGTGCAAAGTGATTTTCAAGAATGCAAAGTGATTTTCAAGAGTGTAAAGTGATTTTCAAGAATGCAAAGTGATTTTCAAGAGTGTAAAGTGATTTTCAAGAATGCAAAGTGATTTTCAAGAGTGTAAAGTGATTTTCAAGAGTGCAAAGTGATTTTCAAGAGTGTAAAGTGATTTTCAAGAATGCAAAGTGATTTTCAAGAATGCAAAGTGATTTTCAAGAATGCAAAGTGATTTTCAAGAATGCAAAGTGATTTTCAAGAATGTAAAGTG